GCGGCGGCGGCGGCGGCGGCGGCGGGGGCGGCGGCGGCGGCGGCGGCGGCGACGGCGGCGGCGGCAGCGGTGGGGCGGCAGCGACTGCGGCGGCAGCGGCTTTGCGGCGGCGCGATTCGGCAGCGGGGGGGCGGCGGCGGCGGCGGCGGCGGGCGGCGGGCGGCGCGCGGCGGTGGCGGCGGCGGCGGCGGCGGCGGCGGCGGGCAGCGGCGGCGGCGGAGGCGGCGGCGGCGGCGACGGCGGATTTGCCCCCAGTAGCTGCCCATCCACAGACGACTGCTGCATATGCTGCGGTTCGGGCCAGGCTCGGGTGCTACGTATGTGTTGGGAGGGCGGGTGGGGGGGGGGGGGGGGGGAGTGAGCGAGACTGCTTGCGGCGTGGAAGAGGAGACTCTTGACCCCTCCACCTACCCCTCCCTGGGTGGACTTGGACGGGGGTTCGCGAGGGGGTTGGGCGTCCAAGATGGCCTCGCGAGGAAGCTAAAATCATCGGTTTACAAGGGTTTGGCCCATCTTGGCCTCCTCCGCCGGGGGCCGTAATTGAGGGACCCCCTTTTTTACTCGATCTCTCCAAGATGGCCACAAGAGTCGCCGTGGAGGCCCCAATCGGCTCCCGAATGGCCCCAAGATGGCCCCATGTAGCCCCAAGAACCTCTCAAGAGGCCCCCAGGATGCCCCCAAGGGCGCCCAACACCAAGTCCAAGAGTTTTGAAAGGGGTTGGGAGGCCCAACCAGCAGCTTCGCCTTAGGCGAAGCCCAGATCCCGCCCTGTTGTACCGTAGTGACGATAGTCCCGGTAGTAGGGGGCGAGCCATCTCAAGCAGTTTTGGTATCGATGGCGGGAACTGGTTACACTCTCGGCGCTTGAGGGTGTTCCGTGTCAGGATGCTTTGGCGGGCTGGCCGCTTTCGAAGAACAAAAAAAAACACAAAACATTCAAAATTCCCAAAAAACAAAAAAAACAATTCAAAAAAAAAAACACAAAAACAACAAAATAACAAAAAAGAAAAACAATCAACAAAATCTCAACAAATCAACAGAAGCAAGGACAGGAGAGAATCGAAAGAAAACAAAAAATTTCCAGATAGAAACAAATCCAAAAAAGAAAAATTCAAAAAAATGTGCATTA